CAGCACTACCACCCCCCAATGGGAAATAACCCACATACAACTTTAGCAAAACAGACACCCATTCGCAAATTTTCCCAGTTTAAATATTTTTTAAATTTTGAATGATGAAAACTTGTTGCTGATAATTTGGGCCACGTGTTTTGTTTTGTTTGTTTTTTTTCTTCTTCGAAGAAAGACAAAAAAACATCACACACGAGTAACGCCTTCTACACAGTTACATGTGCAGATACATGCGCACGTGCTGATGTAGGACAGCGCAAGATGATGGCTTAATCTTCTCACTGACAAAGTTTAAAAAATATGTAAGCATTTTTTGCTCGCATGGAAAGAAGGGGGGAAAAAAAACAACAGCTTCGTTTTCACAGCATTCTGCGCATGTCCAAAGTTGGTTCGCCCACACAACATGTGAGCAGTTCTTTTATGGAATTTTCTTACCCCTATTGGAAAACATGGGGGACACATCGTAGTAGTATTCCCAATTGGTACACTTTCTGCTGGAGTTATCTCAAAATTGCGTATGTATATCTGAACACGTACCATTTTTTAGGGTGTGTTTTTTTGTACATTTTTCTTTGAAGTCTTCCCCGTTGGACGTGCAGCCCGTGCAGCGGGGCGACGGTCAAAGTGGGGTCACGTGAAAAGGTTACAATCACGGTTCGACGGCACTGCGATGAATGAATGTTCCTGAATGGAAGACGTCCAAAGTTCAGTTGCGCGAATTGGATTGATGTTCTCTGCGCCTGAACATTTTACCCATGCCATTGGGTAAACTTAAACGAGCATGCTCATAAAAATATACACTGTTGACTGGCACGGCGTAATGTACATTTTCCGGTCGCATTATAGGCACATGCGTATAAACATACCTGCATGCATCCATTTGCTCTTTTTGGGACCCCCCCTTTGGTTGACATAAAAATTGACCTGGCGAAAAAATGGAACAGGAATAAAGACAATTTCGGCGTTGTTCCAACATTAGTGAAAAAAAAAAATGAAAAAAAAAAAAAAAAAACGTAAAAGGCCTAGTGTATATAAACAACTCCCCTGCAGAAGCAGCATCACGCGATGTGCTTTCCGAACGTAATCACTGCAACACTTGGCAAAAATGCCCCTCGCAAGTGCTTTAAATGTAAGGTAAAATTGGTCCCCCCTTTTATTTTATTTTATTTTTTCATAGGCTCATCCTGCGTCTGTCAAGTTGGGGAAATTCGCGATTTAGTGTTATTCCCTCGATGGAGCATATTTTAAGGGCCTGTTTTTTTATCAAGTGGAAGCGAGAAAAGGTCACTCAGCCGCAATGTTAGCAAGAAAAGTAGGAAGCAGTTTCGCTGAACATTTCTCTGAACGTTTCTATGAAGATTTCGTTGCAGTGCCAAGCAAAAGGGCTTCCCCGGTTAGGCAACAGAAGAGGACCCCTACTGGTGCAATTTTCTCATCCCCTCCATTTGAGTAGAATTGCCTTATGATAAGAGAACAAAAAATGTAACTGCCTATTCGTCGTGTACTCCTGTTATACCTACGCTGATCTGTGCATGTATTGGGAAATCCATATCAGGTGAGGTTTCCATGTGTCCTACTGCGATCATTGAGGCAGTCCACGCGCAACAGTCGACTTTTACGAGAAGCATATGCATTGCCCTGCGCCATTTGTGCTGATCCGTGTGCGGTGCAACTCTTTTGACCTGGTTTCGGCGTGACTTTCGCGTATCGTGCAGCGGTGATATTTCGGCATATTTCGCATCACCGTGCGTCGGGCTGAGAGAAACCTCTCATTTGCACACTTGAGGAGAGCCCTATTATGATACCTCCGAGCGGAGAGAGATTCGACGATGAGAGAAGGTCCTGCTTCAAGTATTTCCTAACGCTAATGTTTTTACTTGTGCTCATGCTGATTCTGAGGAAGCAAAAGGAAGAGGAAGAGGAGATAAGCACCAGAGCCAAAATGAACCTAAGGCAAAATGAAAACGACCGAAATTTTGCATTTAGCTACTTAAGAGAAATTAGCTTCTTGAAGTACGACTCCGCTGTGTACATATCGCCAAACAGAAAAATTATTCCCAGCATAAGGTACATTAATAACTATACAGTATATGTCCAAGGGTACGACAACATTTTGCACAACTTTGAAAACGTGTCTGTGGGAATCAGTGAGGAGAAAAATAACTTCTACATTTACGCGGTAGCAAATAATAGGCAGGAAAATGGAATCTGTGCAGATAGTGCATGTGGGGATAGTGACTCTGGAATTATCAACACTGTACTAGTTGACACGACTCTGTTTCGAAATATCCCGATCGGGAGCTGCCACGAAAAGGACACCTCTATGTGCTTTTTCGTATTCGTTCAGTTAAGCAGAAGTAAATGCTACGGTTTTAATAATTTATCCTACTCCTGCCATGTGAACAACACGGTGAACAACCCTAATGTGTTTCTTGCGAGCAGTTATTGCTATATCGTTTTGGCTAGCTCCAGGGTGGAGCGTATATACGAATTCATTAAAGAGAAACTGATGGGAAAGGACCCACTTAACGAAAAGACCTCCACGAAGGACGTCGAAATAATTGCCCATTTTTGCGGAAATGTACTTAACCAGATAGCCACCATAGACGCGGTTAACGCCAGGCTACTTTTTGTACAGCGGTACATACGCAAGTTCGATAAGCGAGAGCAGGATGAGTCAAATGAACAAAGCGACAGGGATAGCCCCTCCGCGAGTAACGGTAATAACCCCAATGCAAACGATCAGACAAATAGTCCTGTAAAGTTTAATACGGAAGAAAATTCAAAGGAGGAGTACCAGAGGTACACAAAATCGTACCTCCACCATGACAATTTTAAAAGTGAACATAACAGCAACGCCTTGACGCTAAAAATCAGCTACCATCTGACCGTAATCAATTTAGGTTCAGAAATCAGGGACATAATCGAATATGTAGAATATGCACAGGACAAACCCGAGTTTTATCTCTTCCCCCCCATTCACATAGCCTTCGACGAGCAGTCCAACTTTTACTACATGGTGCAGCACGAAAACAACGGGTTTTTAAATTTTATTTTCATTTCGCCGTCCACGCTGGTGGTTTATTACACCTTGAAGATACGCGAGTTCTACTCTGGTGAGTGCTTCTCGAGAAATGTGCGTATGGATAGGCAGATATGGGTGAATACATATGGGTGAATGGATATGTGTGAATGTATATGGGTGAATGTATACGTGTGAATGCATGTCTGCGTGCGCGGACGGCCCACTCTCTACCAACGCAATCTCTTCTTTTTGTTTCTTCCCCTGCAGGATGGTTGCTGAACTCGAGCCGCGATTACGACAGCAAAGGGTTAATTCTTTTTGGTAATTCCATGCAAGGAGTGTTCATTCGTTTGTGACGTCCCGCTTTTTTGTGTGTCTTTGTTTTTTTTTTCTATTTGTGTGTTGACTAGCCAACCAGCTAGCCAGCTAGCTTTTTTTTTTTTTTGTCAATACATCATAGCATATGTTCACATTTTCGTCCTGCTCTGTCAGATTCTTTTACCCCCCATGTGCCCACCTTCTTTTTTTTCCTTTAGGAGAATACCCACCATACGAAGATGAGCTTCATGTTTGGGACATTCGAAATTTACAGCACAGGAAATACCTAGTTAACATCATTAAGACGTACTGACTTGAATTTTTCCGTTTTGGTTGGTTATTCTGGCAATACCAGTGTTGTTCACTCTGCCTGTTTGTTCATTTGTTTGTTTGTTTTTTTTTTTTTTTTGAATAAGTCCGATTTTTTGACCACAAGTACGCAGCTGATAACCGCGCATCCAATTCGGTACCCAGAATGTATCTCCTGGTCCTTCTCTGCGTTTCCGCACGCGTTGTTTTGTTTAGTAATGTGTGAAAAAGTGAGAGAACTATGAAATGGCCCAAATGCCAGATGCGCAGTTGCGGGCTTCCAAACCCATGCGGAGTAGCGTAACATTTGTACTTCAATATGTGCCATTTTTGTCGACCAAAACGTTGGCAGCGTTATACATTGTATGATTAATTTTTTTTTTTCCTTTTTTTTAAATTAACAAAATGGTTGAATGGGTCCATTCCTGAGTGGGCCATCCACCTATCTTCCGGTTTTTCCGTTCGCAAATTTTACAACATTGGTGCCTTGGCAATTTTGCCCAAATGCAGAATATGCCGAGCGTTTTAAAAAAAATGTACGTACCTGTCTAGGCCTGAAAATTGCAAACATTTAATCGCTGTGATGCCATTCGTTGCTAAAAGCTGCAGTGCCGCTTAAACCTTTTAACGCTAAGGTTTCCGAGCAAAATGGGAGCAGACCCATTTTAAGAGATTATCCATATAAGAAGGGAGGTATCAAAATGGAGTTGCCCGTATGTGTACATCTGCATGGTACAATGTTACGACGGGTAATGCTGGAACCACGGAGAATTGCCAAACTGGTATAAAGTGTTCTGCACAAGGAAAGAAATCCTCTTCACATTCAGGTTTTCCTCGTTAGCATATCCTCATAGATAGGTAAGCTTTATAACATGTCATATTTCCAAAGTTTCACAAAAGTATGTGCTCCGAAAAGGTTTACCCTATGTTTTCCTGTGGGCCGCCAAGTGTTTTAAACTGAACATTCGTGGACGCTGGAGTTGTTGCATGGCAATTCTGGGCATCCTACGCGCGAAGCATATGTATACTAATCATACCTTCATGCGCTGGCTTACCCGATGCTAACTTGAAGGGTCATCAAACTGGGGAAGTAAAAATGCAATTTTGCTTCCCAAAATGCGATCTTTTAGAAAATATATAATTCTTTTTTTTTCAACGTACATGGGTTTTATGTAAGCGTCGGTGCCACACGAAGTAAAACTTAATGCGCTCGTAATCGACTTTATATATGTATATATATATTTTTTTTTTTTTTTCTTTGCCTCTATAAAATACCCTTTTCTCTTTTTGGCGCGAAACTTCCATTCATCCCTGTGCCATTTTAACATATGCATAAAATGCGAAAAAGTGAAAACCATCAGAAAGCAACTCTGCTTTTTTGTTTTTTTTTGTTTTTTCTACTTAGAGTATGTCAAAATTGTTCGAATTGAACGATTTTTTCTTTTCTTTTTGTTTACTGCCACAGGACGAAGAAATTCTCTACAATTATGTACAACATTTATTTTTGTGCGAATTGTACTTTTTTTCTGTAAGTGCCAGTAGGTGGTAAGTACATAAAGGTATGCATTTATGGTAGCTATAAAGTATAATTGTATAAGCATGACTACTTCTACAAACAAACGTTAACTTGGCTTCTTTTCAGCATTTGAATTAAATGAAGAGCACCATGTGCCTATATAATGGGTTGACTTCTTTCCCCGAGTTTTTCTCCCTTCATTTTTCCGATTCGAAACGTACATTTTGTTAATTTTTGTCGAAAAAATGAGGCCTGAAAAACGGGGAAACAGGAAGCTTGATGGATATATAAACCAAGAAGCCCTATGCTCACACGGACCAATCTGACTGTGTGTGCGTTAACGACGCGCTCGGTTTAGTTATACATGCGGAGGCGCAACAGTGCATACACGTATGTGCATATTTTACAGCCCCACGCGAAAAAGAAAAAAAAGGCACATCGTTTTTAAACGAGTGGAAGAGCATCACCAAGCGTGCCCCCCATTCTCTTTGTTAATCCTCTGTCCTCAAGCATGTCACTGACGCTTTTTACTAATGACAAGAGGAGAAAATATTTAGGCAGTAACAGACCAGAAGGTCGCGTAGGACATTCCCTACATCATTACTATGAGTTAAGCGCAACGAAGGAAGTGAGTGGCTCGTCGGGAAGAGACGACGATGAGGGGACGGGCCAGACGCGCGCTGTAGACCGGATGAACGATGAGCAGTCGTATGCGTTAGACTCTGGGTTTACTTCAACTCGGGAGGAAGGTAAATGTGGACCGGCCGAAATAAGCGGTAGAAACTGTGGCGATCATGTGGGAGGCGAACAACGGGAGGGAGAAGAATCCCTAAGAGGTAACCCGGAGGAGACATACAAAGAAGACAAATTATTCACCCAATGTCCTAGCGCTCGAAACCATTACAAAAGTAATGACGACCATCTGGGTAGTATTCCCCATGGGGAGAAGAAGAAAAAGGGCTACCATAATAGGTTTATCCATGGGAGGTATAAAGTTGTTCTCTTCGGGGGAGGGCTACCAGAAGAGGAGTTTGTAAGAAATTACGAAAACGGATGTGTACAAGCCAAGGGTGAAGAAGAAGATGGAGAATATAGCAAATACAATATGATGAGTGTAGAGAATTCTCTACAAAGAACGCTTAATGATCTGTACATTTGTGAAGAGGAGAATGACGATTTTGAGCACTGGGTGAATGTTAAGACGCATAATGTTCCTGAAGCGAGGGCATTCCACGCGTCCTGTATTGTTAACCTGGGGTTAAATGGTGTTTTTTTGTTTATCCACGGTGGCAAGGTGAACAATGACATGCTCGCGGATGACCGACTGTGTGCCTTGAACTTAAGCAGAATTTCATATCGTGCTGAGCGAAGCCAGAGTGGCAGCAGATGTAGGGGAGAACCGGATGGGGAGGAAGAAAGTGACACCAGCAACAGCCCCATGGTAGAACAGAAGCAGGAGCAGAATCGGACGGAGTGTAATGATCATCCGGATGAATCTGAGGAAGAACACCTTCCCCACGGCAACCCTCTGAGGGAGAACCAGCATGGTCTCGCTAGCAGTGCCGTTATAAAAGAGGATCGGAATGAAAAGGACGAGCAGAGCGACCCTCCAAATGAGGGACCTCAAAATGGTGTAGTAAAAAACAAAGCAGAGGAGGAGAAGCAGCAGGGGGAGAAGCAGGTGGAAGAAGAAGAAACGTTTGGCGAGCCCCTTCCTCGGAGAAGAAAAAGTTGTGAAGCCCCGAGGGGGGCAGACATATGGGGGAACAGTAATCATCATGGCGAGGAAGGCCACCCTGACGTGGATATTGGCCCGGGTTGCCTGAAGGAAGAACCCTGTCGTGATGCAGAACCGAATGCGGCAGGGTTAGAGGCTCCTCCCAAACAAAGGAACCATTTAGCCAATCATAAGAAGAGGAAGTGGTGCTGTTCATCGTCCCACTTGTGCTCTGCATCGAGCGAATCTGCGTCCAGACAGTCTTCCTCCATGGGGTCTCCCTCCAATGATTCCCCCTCCTCATCGTCCTCTTCTTCAAACTCGTTGCCTCCGTGCGACTCGGCCTTTTTTCGGTCCACCCATTACCACACGCGAGATAACCAACTTGACGAGGAGGACGAAGACGTGCTTGTGAATTCGCGCGTCCCAGTTAAAAGTTTGCTTCTCAGGGGAAACAACAACTCCTCGTGTGGTAGTGCCTCCTCCCCCTCCGAGGAGGAGGACTCAGATGTGGAACAAGGGAGAAATGGAAATGCCTCCCTCAAAAGGGTGAAAAGGACATGGGTCCACGTCCAAACAGTGGGAAGAAAGCCAAACAGTAGGTATGGACACACCCTGGATTTTCTTTACCCCCATCTGGTCCTATTCGGGGGAAACGAACATATATCCGATGATGAGGAAACTTTTTTTTGTAAAAATGACCTCTGGGTGCTGAACATAAAAAAGGGGAAAAGAAAATGTACAAAATCGGAGAGGAAAAAAACTCTTTACTTTGCGTGGCAAGAAGTAGAGTACCAATCGGTGAATCCTTTGGGGAGATACTTTCACGCCACGACCGTATGGTATGACGTAAAAAATAAAATGAACAAGTTAATTTTGTATGGAGGTAAAATGAGAAAGAAGACGAGTGTAAGCAACAGATTGTTAGCTCTGCAGAATTATGGAAATAAGTGGAGGTGGTCTATTTTGCCAGTTTATGTAGATCCTCTGAATGAAAACAGAGCATGTCACGCCTTGGTCTGTGTAGACAATCATATTTTTATCATTGGGGGAGAAGACTACACTTATAAATATATCGAGAAAATGCCATCCGCCTTGTACTCATTTGAATCGAAAAAGTTTCAGTATATTAACGACTTCAGTGTGAAGGCCTGTTTAAAATGCTTTGCAAAAAATGAGACCATTTATTCCTGGGGAGGATTTACAGACGTATCATGCAATCAGATTTTTTTACCAAACAATTTTGTTACCATTGATGTGAACCCACATGTTATGTATATACAAATGAAGGAAGACCTGGCGGATGAGTATGATGAAAACAATGACCTCGTTCTGAAGGAAGAGCCAGAATCCGACGACGACATTTACCATCGCATGAATAAAAGAATCTTAAAAGTACACAATAGGAAGATGGAGCTCGAGAAGGATCTACTGTACCAGATAAAGCTAAATGAGAATTTGAATTTTCGCATCAAGTCTCAGATGGTGCAGTATCAGAGGGTACTGCAGCTGCTGAATGTAAAGCAGACTCAAAATGCTCATCTGATGAGCGCTTTCAAGCAGCAGAGCCTTCCCCTCGACGGTGGCACGATTGGTGGCAGAATTGGAGGCAACTTTGGAGGAAGCATTGGCGGCAGCGTGGCCGGGTGCCACATCGCATCGCACGGCTCATACCACAGCCTACACGGTGTGCCTCTGTACGACGCGGGCACCAACATCAACATGAGCAGCATCAACGTCAGCAGCTGCAGCAACTACCCGAATTATAACAGTGAGGGCCTCTTCAAAATGTCGATAAGCGAACAGGACAACTTCTCCCATCCTATAGCTGCAGACATGATGAGCAGTCATGCCAGTGGGTTGCAAAGCGAATACGAGTGCAATGTAGTTCGGCACAACGTGAAAACGAACCAAACAGTGAGCGAGCTGCCTGTGGCCGACGCAGGGGGGGACCAAAATATGCTGTCGAATGAGAACATCCAGAGTATTTCCTACACGGATAGCATGAATGAGAAGGGCAACAAGAACGTGGAGGAGCAGGAGCAGTTGCGCTTCGAGGGAGGGATAGCACCAGATCATGTCGGTGTACCGATCAACCAGGTAAGCGCAGCGGGCGAAAACCCCCCATGTGGGGGATATCACCCCAGCGAGGGATACGCCTCCCCTGGTTGCGAACAGGTCACAAGTATCCCCGGGAGTGCGCCATACCACACGTTTAGTGGCATGTCCGAGCTGTGCGCCACGAATGGAGGACAGCTCCCCTGGAACGGACATACAAGTGGTTACTCCAACGGAGCATCTCATCCGTACAGTGAAATGAATCAACTACTCGACATGACCATAAAGAATAGCACTCCTTTTGTGAATGATTATTTCACCGGAAATCCCCTGGATGTGCCCCAAAATAACCTCCAGGCGAGTGGCAGCAACGATAGAATTGGCAACGCCTCGTCAACACAGAGGGGCGTTCTTGGTAACGAAAAGGAAGGAAGCACCGTGACGGCCGCCAACAACGAGAGTTTGCAAGCCCAGTCTGAGGGGAATTCCACAAACAGGGAATCTTCCAATCAACGGGTGCGCCGAAAAACGGCCGCCAAGTGCTTGGAGCTGATTGAGCAGGATAGGCTCAGCAGGATGATGAGTGAGAGGTAGGGAACCCTGGAAGACAGACATGGGAAAAAGCAAGCCATGTTGGTATTTTACCGGATTGGCCTTCAGTAGGGTGGCGGATTTACTAACTCATTTGTGAATTTACGAATAAGTTAAAACAAAAAAAAAGCTAGAGAGCCATACCGACGCAGAGACGCCACATTGCCGATGCGGTTGACAAATGATTTGACTCTAATTAGAAGGTCTCCATCCGCATACCGTCGTTTGCTGCAACTCAACGATGTGTTTTATTCGCTCCGCGTATTTGTTTTCGCCTATTCGTTTTTTTTTAGCCGCGTAAATTATCTGTTTTACTGAGCTGTTTTATTTACCCGCGTAAATTATCTGTTTTACTGAGCTGTTTTATTTACCCGCGTAAATTATATGTTCTGCGGAGCCGTCTTATTTAGCCGCGTAAATTATATGTTTTGCTGAGCCGTTTTATTTAGCCGCTTTCATTGCATCCGATTTAGTTTACTTACATTTTTCTCTTCTTTTCACATTTATCGCTACTCTTCACATTTTTCACCTCTCCTCATTTTAATTGTCGCACCCCGTCCCCTTTTTTAACAGTATGTCCATCCCCCCCTCCCCCTTGTTTATGTCCACCCAAATTTTGAATAACGCCAAACGCATTTTAAAATAGCCTTTCCTTTGCACATTAAGTTAAAGACAGAAATGCACAACGGTGGATAGGGGACCACAGACTGTTGCTGGCACGGGTGGGCAAAACTGGCTCGTGGTTTTGGGACATTTTCCCGGGTCGCTCTCCTGGCAGGAGTTTGCCGTGTACACTTGTGCGCCGGCACTGTATCATTGAAGTGCCCCTCAATCCCGGTTTATACCCCCGCTAAGGAGGCGACACTTCACGTTGAGCTTCGACATCCAGTTGGAAACGCTGCGCAGGAATTGTCTATTCGTGACCAAATCCTTGGGGAACCCTTCCTCTCGGAGGAATGCCCGATTGTGCACGAACGCTACTTTAATTAAATACTTCGTCGACTGGAAATCCAACACCATGTTTGTGTTCTTCATTTTGTACAAATAGCCATTTGAAAGGTATGCATTTTTGTAATGTGGCCTTTTTTGTATCCTTTTCTGTTTTACCAGCTTGCAGTAGGTAGCTAATTTGTCCTGCTTCAAAATGAGCATGACCATATATTTGCAAAGAGTGAGATTTCCGTTTTTACAAAATAGGGGGGTACAAGAATGTTCCTTTTTTCCTCCCCGTTTCTTCCTTTTCTCATTTTTAAAAGCAAGGGTGTAGTTTCTCACGGTCTTTGCGTGAATGTTTTGAGTGTACTTATATTTATATAGCTTACCCATTGCTGCTCCTTCCCCTGGGGGTGCACTAACGGGGGGGGTAAAAAGATACGCAGTGGAATCTCCACCGAATTGTTCGTTTGTACCCATTTGGGGAGGACACACATCCTTCGGGCTCACCCCGCGGTGATTGGTGAAAACTCTTTTCACGTACATGCCCCAAATGGACATTAAATTCTGCCCAGGCGGTAGGTACTGGCAATTTGTAATTATGAAGAAGAACATCCTTTGGCTTAAAAAGCAGAAATCGAAATTCAGAACTTTTAAGTAGCTTCTTAATATATCAACTATGATGTCGAATTGGTCTGAAATTATTTCCTTCACTTTGGAAGGGTCTCCCTCCCTCAGCTGGGGTTTTCCTAACGTGTGTATTGGGTCCCTGAAAAGGAATTTCTTGTACTTATCTGCTGCCTTCCCGTTAGTGTGATCAGCGTGACTGATCGTGAGGGGTTCGTTCCTGCTCTGCTGAGTTTTTCCTCTCCCACTAAAGCTACCTTCCTCCACATGGTTAATCAATCGGCTCAACCAGTTTAGGTGATTCAAAATGGGCATCTCAAACGAGTGAAATGAGACATATCGGTAAATCTTGCCTTGTAGGAGTGCTTTTAAAATTATATTTATTTGGTGTAAACTCAGATCATTTCTCCTCTTCTCCGCAATTCGCAGTAGGCATTTGTAAAAATACACATTTCTGTGCCCTTTTAGCACTCCGTTGTGGATGATTCTGTGCAGATTGCCTACCTTTTTGTACTTATTCCTGCACGCTTTGCTGTTATTGTTTGGTAGGAACTCTTCATGCTCATGTATGGGCACGTGAATCTTGTTTCTCTCTTCGTTCAGCAGTAGGCGATGGGCGTTGCTTATTCTTTTTATTCTGTGCAGCGCCAGCATTGTACATTTGTTTGCAGTACTTTGGGTGCCAAGCCGAGCAAAGGCGCGGTTATTCCTCCCCTGTTTCTTCCTCCGCTGTTTGTTCTTCCCCTTTTGGCCTTTTCCCATTCCTATACACGCCCGGCAACAATTCACGCCCCCCTCACCAATTTTCTTTGCATACGATAATCCCCGTTCGGCAATTTTTTCCTCCCGTCCCCACGTCCCATGATTTCTTTGTTCTCATCTCCACTGATTTATGCTCTATTTGTGAAAACCACACTTGAGTGTAACCTCTCCTCCCCTAGCGTCTGCTACATAAGCGTATCTTCAACCCACGCCTCGCAATTACGCGTAGGCATATGGGTGCTCTTTTTTCGAAGCGGCTCGCTTGGTCCCCAACGCAACACAAATTTGTGAACGCCCCTCCGCTTCATAACATTCTGCAGCACCAATTTGGTTTCCCCTATTTGGTCTCCTTGTGACGTAGAAGAGGAGGGGTAAACGCAGCTCCGCCAAGTTTGTCATTTATGCCACTTCTTACCTAAACGGGTAATATTTTTTTTTTCTTCCGTTTGTCAATTTTTGCCCAGCCCTGTGAACCTTTTGGCACAGCCTTCGTGTTGTTCGCTCGTTTAGGGATACCGCTTTATCCCATGATCTGCAAACAAATTGGGAGAATGGGGCAATCCCTGTGACCGTAGCCGCGGTGAAATTTGCAGAGAGGGAGAAGTTCCCAAAAGGGTACACCACATAGAGAGCACTGCAAAGAGGGGGGACACCTAAGCGTTGCCTCTTTCCTCCCCAAAAGAGATATTGTCAGCCGCTCAAGTGCAAAATGACCAACGATGAGGAACGTAAGTGCCCAGTGGGCCGAAGGGAAGGGCATGGTCCAGATGCACACTTTGCATGTGTAGCCTCGTGGACACGGAGATGAGCGTCCAGACGGTGCTGCGAACCGTGCCGCGAACCGTGCTGCGAACCGCACGGATGTCTGCTCTACCAACCGCTCAACCAACCGCCCTATCGCAGCGATCCCTGGGGAGGAATGCGATCCGCCCAGCGAGGACCTCTACACGAAAAAGAAGAAAAAAAAAGAACGGAACGGAAGTGTGTACTTTGATAAGCTGAGGAAGAGCGAATACATCTGCGTGGAAATCCCAGGGAGGATCAGAAAAGGAAGCAGTGGATTGTCAGCCGTGGAAAGCTTAGGGGGGATAAAAAAAATAACCGAATTATTTCATCTCCAGAATAATGGACATAGACATGAAGAAAATTTAATCCTACGAGTTAACAACAATGACATGTTCTCCTCCTTCGTGTCAGCCAATTCAGCAAAAGTGAACAATATGTTAATTAAAATTAAAAGGACAAGGAAGAATATCTACAAATTTGAATTCCTAGGGTTCGTTCGATATTTGTACTACTTTGACAATATGATCGACTTTTATTATATTCCCACGTTTTATAACAGGCGCGATTACAGCACTAATTATATAGACTACTTAACGAGAGGGGGCCAAGTGAGGGAAAAAAAAAAAAAAAAAAAAAAAA